GGTGTGACATATTCGTTCTACCTCAAGGCACTGTCAGTCAACTACATGATCAGCATCATCATGCTGACGCTAAGTATTCTGAGGAAAAACGGCGTGTTCGACCTGTCGTCTTTCATCGTAGCATTGTACAGCATCCACCTGGAGCAGTACCTCGCCAATCTATTTCTCTTCAGCGGAAATCTACTGATCATCGCCATGGCTTGTGACGGTCTGAAAGCGATCACCTATCCGTTGCAGCGGCTGAACCTCAACGAGAGGGGCTCGCATATGGTCGTCGTCAGCATCTACGTTACTGTAGCGATCCTGCTTCTTCCGGTTACAGTAATGCACAAAATGGACGTTCGAATAGTCAACGCGACCAGGATTTACATTGCGGTACAAGTGGACACACTGTTCATTGGGCTGATACGATACGTTGTCGTCACAACGTTTGAAGTAATTCTGATCTTGTTGATCCTAATAATCTACACCGCGGTCTTGATCAAGTACAACGCGATTGTAAAGCGACATTTCTGCTTCGTGAGAAGCCTTAAGCAAAGCAGCAGCCGGTTGCTGACCACCTACTACCACAAAGCCACTGTCATATGTTTGGCTTCGGTGACCGCGTTCCTGGTTTGCAACCTACCCAGTGCCTTAATGGAGATGTGCTACTTGAGCTTCTACCTGCGTGGCGAAATCGAATGTTTTCTGCGCAGCTGGTCAAGGGTGATCCTGAGGAGCGTAGGCAATTCGATGCTTGCCTTCAATTTCACCCTCACGTTCGTCTTGCAGTACGCGGTGAGCATCCAGTACCGTAAAAACTTACAGTGCATCCTTGAAAAGGGAAAGCGAAACATTAGCCAACGGCTGATGCTGCTGCATTCGTACAGAAAAGCCCAGCAGTTCGAGTTCCAGTTCTATGGCAACAGAAATACCAGAAACTACGTGTAACGTTTTTCCAGTAAAAGGGTTTCGACGTGAAAGGCAATTGAATAAAACTTGCAAAAATAGCCGTGATGAAGCTTTAGTGATCAATAGTTAATGGCATATTCTATGAAGATTATTGTTCGAATATATACGAAAGAGCTAGTTTCAGTTAATTGCTTTCATACGCGAAAGAACAACGAACAACTGTAGCCAATTATAAGTATATTTATGTTTGTACCGCGCGCGAAAGTGATCAGCTGACAAAGGAAACGTACCAATAGAGGGGTAAAGGGACAACTATTTGAAATAAAAATGAACAAAAACTTGTGATATGAATTACGTAAAAGATGCAAATCTGCATCAGACAACAATTCTCTCGAGGCGACAATTTTACCGTAAAATGCTTCATCAATCCCCTACTAAGATGTTTCTGGCGATCAGACGCAGAGAAGCAATTCTGCAGAAAACTGGATGCATTTGGCCATCTATTTTTGACAGCAACAAAGTTACAGTTTTCCTCCCATCTAGCAGGCATTTAATAAACATTTCTGGTGCCATGAAATCTGCGGTCGTTTCCATCATTCCATTGTTTCTCGAGGTGATTCAGTTCCAATCAGTTTGGAATTCCAGTTATTGCCTTAGCCGAAGGTGAGAATCTGCTTCTCAGCAGTTCCAGGTACAGGGATAATAATCATAAAGAAGCATAAAACTCCAGTGATATAACGACAAATGATACAAAAGTAGAAACTCTGTCGTTGCCGCTCCAAGCCCTGATGAAGAAGGAGAAAATTTGAAAATCGTCGCGAGATCCCCTTTAAAACTTAGCCACCTGTTCCTCGTAGTATTATACCGTTATCGAACGTTATATCGGTTTGGCCTTCGTCCGCATTGTCAAGGCCAGGCAAGCTGTTGGGAGCCGATTTCAGGCGGAAAGACGGTCTATCATTACTGGAACGAAAAGAAGGGCAGCTTAAGAGTTCTGAAGGAATAGTCTGGACGCCCTCCTTCTAAGAGGTAC